TAAAAACCTGTTTAAATATTTATATATTAGTAATATTATATAAAAAATAAACAAAATTAATTTAATTATTAATTAAATTAATTTTGTTTATTTTTTAAAAACCTTTTTCATTAATTATTAATTAAATCAATTTAATTTTATTAAAAAACAATTTTTATTAATTTTTTCAATAAAATTTATTCAAACTAAACTATAAATATTTTCACCCCATTAATTAGTGAGTAAGAGTCACTTCTCCTCAATTAATTCTAAGATATTTGAGATAGATTGGTAAGATGGATTAGTTTATCTGAGAGGTCTTATAAATCAATGGGGAGTGCGTGAGGACGGAAACGTAACAGCGAATACCATTAGCTTAGATAGTCTTTTGTTAAAAACAGTCTTTTGTTATTTAAATTACTTCAAAAATACTGCTGATTTTATCAAATTTATTTAAAATCTTTTATTCTCTTTATCAATTTTGTATTCACATAGAATAACTTTTAATAAGTTAAAATTAAAAATTCTCTTAATACATTTCATTTTCTAATAAATTTTATTTAAAGATTTAAAATCTTTTTATCAAATAATTACTTTTAAAACTTTAATAAATAAATCAAAATTAAATCTATTACAATTTATTATCTTCAAGCATTTTAGATTCATTTAAAGTTTCATTAAGTTTAGATTCTGTTAAAGATTCATTTTTAGTAGAATTTAAATTTGATTCATTTTTAGTTGAATTTAAATCTGCTTCAATATCAACTTGAGAATGTTTTTGTAATAAAGGTGAATCCATTCTTTTCTCCTTAGCTTGAACAGTCCATAAAGTTATATTATCTCTTAATAGTTGCATTATTAATGTAGATTCATTATAATTCTCATCTGTTAAAATATCTAATTGTTGAATTGCTGCTTCAAATGACTCTTGTGCTAATTTAAGTGCTTCTTCTACATTCTCAAATGTCTCATAGTAAAGTACTGATAAGTTAAGAGCTAACCCTAACCAGATTGGATTTGAAGCTTTGAGGAAATTTCCTTTATCTCTTGCTTCACTGTAATACTTGAATGACATATCTCTATATTCTTCTCTAGACGGTCCTATTGTCACTTCTGCTTTATACCTATAAAAGTCTCCCTTGATCTTTATAAAATAAACATAATTAATCATTTGATCTTCTTCTTCTTTTAAATCCACAAACTTCTCTATTACGTCTAATACACCATCACTTATTTCCATTATATTATTCGTTATCTTAACTATAATTTCCTTTAATATTTTATATTCATGATTCTCTTTATCATCCTTATATTTGTCTGCTTCTGTCATAAGTGCTCTC